CACAGGATGGACTACGCTAGTCTATCAGGTTGTATCAATTGCTTCTTAGATTCCTTTTCTGATTCTAATATTCTGTGACTGTTGAGTAGCTCATTGTTTTTTTCCACTAGAATCTCATGCACAGAAATAAAAAAAGAATATATTGTTTTGAAAGAATGAATAAAAATTAAAGGAAAAAATTAATTTTTAAGGGGAAAGAAAGACAACGAAGTGTGACAAAAGTGTCAAATTTGAAATGTATCTAACCTAAGAGAATTTCATGTTAATAATGACGATTTACTTATTACACCAATATTTATCAAGCGTCCACTATGTGCCAAGCATTGTTTTGTTGCAGTAATGATATGATGATCATAATGATAGCAATAGCAGCTAACATTTACTGAGAACTTATGACCACACTCAGAATGAGACAGGCATGAGCTCTACCCTCGTGGAAACTTATAAGCTAATAGGAAAAGCAGACATTGAACAAGTAATTCCAAGTGTCATCAATACTACATGAAATTGCAGGGCACAATGGGAGGGTGTTACAGGTGGTCTAATCTAGTCAAGGGGTCAGCGAAGTCTTCTCTGAGGAAGCGACACTTAAGACTTAGCTAGACAAAGGAAAGGTAGGTTTGAGGAGAAGGAGCATCCCAGGCACAGTGAAGACTGGGCGAGAGTTCTGATCAGGCAAAATATATATGTTGGAAGAACTAAGAGAACTGGCTACAGCTTACAGGGCCAGCGGGAAAGTGGGGAGATGAGGCTGGAGAGAAGGCAGGAGCAAGAACGTGCTGAACCTTAGGGGCCGCATGAGGAGTTTCGACTTTATCCCCAGGGCAATGGGGAGCCATTGATAGCCATTAAGCAAGTAAGTGGCATCATCAGATTTGGGCTCTAAATCTGGATCCAATCTGACTGGATTAAGGGGAAGAGAGGGAAACTGCAGAGGGCAGAAATGATGGTGGCTTGGACTAGAGAGGTGGCAGTGTTTGTAAAACATCTCCAAGTTAGAGTGGTGTCCCAGTTGGGCTAACAAAATACTTCCTCCCATGGAGTCTGGTTATTTATGTTAATGTTGAAGGAACTTTCCATGCTCAAAACCCCAAAACCATTGCCTTCACAGGCATTAGAGCCGTGTGAGGGAGAGGTGGGAGCCTGTGCATGAAGGGTGGCTGAACATCATGGAAAGGGAAAAACCCAAAAGACTAGTCCTCACTGGAATTCTCAGCCTAAATCTGCTGGTTCCCAACTCCTTCCAGTGTCTGGGGAAGGAATGATGTACTGATGCACTCAGCAGAGAAGAGGCCCAGAGATTGCCTAGAAATAGGTCCTCGCCACGGCATAGTGTGAGGAAATGGACTTCTGAAAGGGATTCTTCTCATATAGAAGATAAAAATGTTTTAATTACTGAACTGAGATCCTCTTACCTTAAAAGGAAGGTTCGTTTCAAAAGCTTGCGTTGTAAGCTATATTGTTAGCCCCTCTTGTGCTAAGTGGGATGACTAAGCTCTCACCCACCTCTGGGTTCAAAGAATAGTTATCAATCAGTTATTCGTCAGGCATTTTATTGAGCAACCACACGATGAGAGGCGTTTGAACACAATGGTTAATTAAATGTTTTACATTGAGCTTCCAGTCAATGAAGAAGCTGAGAGTCTGGACATTAAACTATTACAAATTAAATTTGAAAAATGCAGCTGTGATAAGTTCTACAGAAGGAGGTTATGTGTCTATGAGGGCTTATGAAGGGAGGATCTGGCACAGACAGCAAATTAGGGAAACGATGACTGAACTGAGAGGAGAAGGATAGGCAGAAGTTAAACTGGTGAAGAGACGATGGAAGAATAGTGGTAAATTAATTAATTCGATAAATTCATAGAGCACCTGTCAGGTGACAAGGGTCATAATCAGTAACTGATACACAAATGAATGAAGCTCAGTCTGCAGATCATGGAAAAGAACATGGGCTGCATCTTGCTAATTGCTAGCTGTGAGAATTTGGTTGTTACTTTAACTACCCAAACCTCAGCTTCTTAATCTATAACATAAGAAAATAACATCTACCTTGTAGGATTATTGTGAGAATTAAAAATGTTTACAGCCCTTAGCTCACTGCCTGGCACATAAGTAGCAAATTTTGTAAGGACCAGACCAAGGGTCACTCTGATGTAGCATCAGAAGCAGTGTTCTACAGTGGTCAGCAGCTTACTTTAGAGGCCGGCCCCATGACGTAGTGGTCAAGTTCAAGTGCTCCCCTTTGGTGGCCTGGGATTCATGGGTCCCAATCCTGGGCATTGACCTACACACTGCTCATCAAGCCATGCTGTGGCAGCATCCCACATACAAAATAGAGGAAGAGTGGCACAGATGTTAACTCAATGGCAAAAAAAAAAATCACTATTTTTGATCAGAGAGGGTTTGAATCCCAGGTCCAACATATACTTGCTCTATGACCTTGGGCAAATGACAAAGTTTCTAATCTTTAGCTTCTTCATCTATAAAAATTAGATAATAGAAATACCTCATAAGTTTCTTGGGAGCATCGTAGGAGATAAAGCATGAGAAGTGTGGAAAGATGGTTAATAAACACCTAGGTGACATATTAGGTAGATACAAGGTGCTGTATCAGCACAGATAAATAAGCAGTGAATTATTTTTGTTGTTCTAGATAGGAGGGTTAAGCTAGATAAGACTAGAGTTCATATAGAAAGTATTGATCTAGGCCTTAAAAAATGAATAGACGTTGGACAGACCGAATGCTGATAAATTTGCCTTGTTCAAGCCAGCAGGTTGCAATTTGCTGTTGTGAGAATGGTAAAGGGGTCTAAGGAGAATATTTTAAAAGACTGGTGAGTTCATTGAGCAAACATTTCTCTCCAGTTGCTGCCATGAGGTGTAAGGCAGGATGATGTGGTCCATAAGAGCATGGGCTTTGAAATCAGACAGACCTGAGTTCTAATCAAGTCCCTACTACTTCCAGCTGTGTGATCTTATGCCCATCACTTCAATTCTCTGAGCTTCAGTTTAATAGTCTTTAAAAAGGAAGTAATAATAGTGCCCTCTTCGTGGAGCTGTTATGAGGGTTAAATAAGATAATGCATGTAAAGCACTGAACACCATTTTTGGCCCACAAAAAATAAACGTTAGCTATTGTTATTATCGCTGATGCCTCATTAAGGTTATACTGGTATAAAACATTAGAATGTGTTCAGCGTATGGAATGATTACATTAAACACAAGGGTATGTCATATCACCTACTCAACATTGGAGCGTCCGTAGAAATCTCATAAACAACCAGGTGGTGAATTCCTCTGTGGCAATGATTGCAAGTATTTACCTTTGTGGCCCCAATAGCTCTGAAAGTTGTACAAAGCAGGCTCTCAATTAATGTTGAATAAATTAATGAGTGATTTATTTTACTGACTGATAGAAAAAATAAAGTTTTTTCTACTTATAAACATGAGGCGTGTTTCTGTAGACAATCTATAAATACATAAATACACACAATTTTGCCACCAATAGGACAACCATTGCTACCATCTTGATGTATTTTCTTCTGAGGTGTGTGTGTGTGTACAAATGTGATATATGTGGGGGATCACAGCATTTAAGATAATTATATACATATTTAATTTTGACCATGCCATACAAAAGTTTTTTCTTCGTTTATCATCCGAGCATTTGCCTTGTTTTAATATGCTTTGCAAATATGATTTATATTGTATAACATTCTATAAGGATTGCCATATAATTTATTTAACTACTGTCATATTGTTAGAACTTTAGTGTGTGTCAAAACTAATTCATCTTCAAATATGAGTTACTTGTTACCCTATTCAGTGAGTTCTTAACCTTTTGGGGTTGTAAACAACTTGAAAACCTAATTTTTTAAAAATGAAAGTCTGTACTGTCTCCCTCACAGAAGAAAACTACAACCACATATTTATATAAAATGTTGCCTACAATTTCAGGAGCTTTATAAACTCCATGAAGCCTCTCCAGGGATTTCTGTCCCTGGGGCTTCAGGTCAGAACTAGTGATATCAAATATGTCAACATGAAGCAGAATAAAAAAGTGCAAAAACTTTAACGTAACAATTGAGGAGAATTGCTAAAATACTGCTGACTACAAGACATTCAACTATTCTCATAAAATGGTCCAATCCCTGTTCATTCTTGTATTTGAAATAATCTAAGTCTACATTAACAGTCCTCTACAACTTTCATGAATAATGATGTTTCACGTGCTGTGTCTTTGTCATCCTTTGTGGCAGAGCCTCTGGAGAACTCCCGGTGCTCTACCTGTCCTCACGGTGAAGTCTCGCATCCTGGAGAACTAGGACTTTGCTGGGTCTACTCCAGCTGCCCTTTTCCTCTGTTGCTCCTAATTGTCTTACATTCCATTCATTCCATTTAAGCAAATTTACAGCATGACTCAGCACTGGATGATAGAGTCGTCAAAAGGAAAGAGATCATTTCATAATAACACCAAAAATAAATTTAACATACTTAAAATATAATACAGCAAAAAGACAGACAGACATTAAAGAGATGTATTCACTGCTTTGGGTCAGGTATATTTCAACCTCAGGATGCAAAGTTTTATCTTGGCCTTTGTGTAGTTCTAACCAAGGAGGAACACGATCTTTAATTTATTACCTTAACTTTATACTTCATCTGTTATGCAGTTTATAATAACGAGGCTGATTCTACATGCCAACTCATACATTTTCTAAAGAATTCTGATAGGTTCTCAATATGAAGCAGAAAATTGTTTTGTATTTTCTGTTTGTTGTTTCTGTCTTTTTGCTTTTGAAGATAGAACACTTATGTGAAAGTTGAAATAAGAGCATGTACCTATGTCTGCACATTTCTGTGTAGATATTTATGACTACATGTGTTTGAAAAAATTCTAAATCATTACTAAATTCCAAAGAATGATGGAAAAGGAAAATTTTGAAAACAATTCTTAGAATAATTTATATTGAAGACATTTCTTTTTCTCTCCCCAGCTACATCATCCCTCCCAAGGCTTCCGCTTTGGAACTGTCCGGGAAAGCAGTGCTGAAGATTATGTGAGGCAAAGCTTCCCAGAGATGCATGAGTATATGAGAAGGTACAATGTACCAGCCACCCCCGACGGAGTAGAGTATCTGAAGTGAGTGTGACCTCTTGGGTCCAAAAAGTTCTCCCTGAAAGGAAAGTCAGCTACTGATGTAGTGCGTTGGCTTTTGTAAATGACAGCTAGATATACCCACTGTATATACAGTAATAGCTCACACTGTGTGAGATCCAGGAGGCAGTATGGAATAGTGTGCATTTAATTATGTGACCTAGATTACTAGTTACCTGCATAGTCCCAAGTTGGCAGTAGCTTTGCTCAAAGTGCCAGTGGGGTCATTAGTGTAGCAGATGGTGGGGGAAGTAAATGTTGGTTTGACATCACTTGAGAAAACAATGGTGCTGAAATGATCAAACACTCAAGGAATGTGGCCAGAGGATGAAGTGTCCCAAAGCAACCCTTTCCCTCACAGTGAATCTCCAAGCCTGTGGACTGCCACAAGGAAACGGAATTTATCTTAGAGATTTCCTGTAGAAAGGAAATAAAAGGCAGTGATTCCCATGCCTGCATCCTCCTCATCAGAATTTATGAGAAGCAGTCAAGAGCAATCACACTTCCATGGCAGATTATCAGAGGCTGTAATTCAGTGAAGCTGAAGGCAAAGGAGGGTGCTGTGATTATAGATCTGCTCGTCTAGTCTGCCTGGGAGAAGGGAATGAATGGCTCCTGATAAGCACCACAGCCTGAGGGTGAGCGCTCCTCTCCCTCCTGCCTGATGGTCTCAGGACAATGACACACATTCAAACCTCCAACTCTTAGAATTGTGCAGCATCAGGAGACTGGTTTCTCTATGGCCAACCACAATAATCTTCCCAATGGACCGCAGAACTTGCCACTTCAAATTCTTTTTTAAGAATGGAAATGAATAAATAACGTCACGGGACTCAAGCAGTCTGTATTTCTCAAGAGCAGTAGTAATAGGCCCCAAAAGCAATTTTATGGACTTTTAACTAGAACCTAGAGAGGAAACTTTGTGCTCTCAGATTTGCAAAGTTATATATGTTCAATTTAAGCACTATGAAACGGCACTTTCAATTTTGCATAAACGTTAAAACATTAGAGTTGCTCTCTGACGGAGCTCAGTGCTCCTTTGCCTCCCCGCTCCTCTTCAGTATTCTTTCCTTCAGGCAAATTCATGGCTGAAAGAAAGAAAAAGATGTCAGAGAGACAGCAATGGCTCCCACTTAGTAATGGCTGACAAACCGTGCCCTTCTGGCACTGTGAAAACGGTGAGAGAGCCGCTGCTGTAGTCCCCACTCAGCACTCAGGGGATGCATTTATCCTGGAGGCTTCACCTGAGAAGACTCCAATGCTCAGAGTTGGCCCCACTCTAGTCTAGAGAGAAGAAATCGTTAGAAAAGCAGGTACAGATAAAGAAGCTGAGACCCAAAAGAAGCTACTCGTCCATGGTAATACAGCTAGCAAGTGGTGCAGTCGGGAATAGAACCCAGTCTTTAGAATCCAAACGCTGCTGCAAGTCAGTCTAGGAACCATAGCAGAAAAGGAGGTCCTTGATGTTCAAAGAATGGTCCATGTTAAGTTAGCACCTGGGAGCTTGTGAGAAATGCAGACTCTCAGGCCCCATCTCAGAATCTGCATTTTAACAAGCTCCCCAGGTGACTCACTGATGGAAGTGAAATTGGAATATAGGCAGAGCTTATCGTTAATGCCCCTTCACTTCCTCTCTGGGCTTCTCTCTCCACTTTTGGCCCAGTCACGGCCCATGCTCTTAGCCACCACTCCAAGCAACCGCAGTCCTCGTGCTACCCCCATGACACCCCAGAGCCCTGACCTGTAGGGCACAACCCTTGAAGTTGCTTGTACAAGTCAGTTTCCTGTATTAAACCTGTCCCTCCCCTTTCCCACGAAAATTCCCTTGGGCTTAGTTCTACTCACTTAGAGCCTTGTTTCTGAAGTGACAGTATTCCAATAAATTAATCCCTGTTAAAGTATTAATTTTAGTATGTTTATTTAAGACTGTTTTTGGTAGTATATGTATTATTAAATGAATGCTAAAAAAAGACACAGCATGATTCTATAACGAGAGAAACAACTGGAGGTCCTGCCAACTATAAGGATGATTCAGTCAGTCTAGAAACTACTAATACCTGGACCACACTGGCCACTTCCTCACCAGTGACTCAGGGCTCCATGGGAATCTGTGAGCTAATTGCTTTTTGCCTTTCTATGCAATAGAGACCTGTTGTAGCTAACTTCACTTTGCAGTCCAAAATCAGGAGTAGTTATTTAAGGAAACCACTGAGACTGGACCTCAGGAATTACTGGTTAGAAAAACTGAACTCCAATTTTTTTCGATTGCTATTGCTATCACAAATATTGGTGGAGTATTGGCAAATGGTAACTTGTTGCTATGTAGGTCCCAAGGTACATTCTGCTACAGGGTCAGTCAAACTTTTATTGGACAGATATCTTTCAGCTTGATTTTTATTTTTTATTGCCTGTATTCCATTAAGGTTCCTCATCATCAGCTCCTAGAAAACAATTCACATCCCCAACCCTTTCTGAACTTCCCACAGCTGTGTATCTGAGAGGTGCTTCTCATTTCCATTAAAATTAAACATGGCCTCATTATAACTTATATCCAATACCTCTGGAAAAGGGGATGCACTTTGAATTGGCTATTTCAATTTTTGGAAGAGCAGAAAGAGCAAGCAATGGTCGTTGGTACCAAGAAGGAAGGTGACCTACTTATCTGTGTCTATGTGTGGCCCAGACAAAGCCATCCGTGTAAAGATGTACTTTCTGCCCAAGGATGAATCTTAGAGGTGTCTAGGGCTGTCTTTCTCTTTTATTTTTTTGATGTGCCTTACCCATGTTCTCCTCTGAGTTTAGAGGCCACTCCTCTGTATTGAATTCCAACAGCCTCATTTTTTGCTCTAAGAGAGGAATGATCAAGCCCAGATGGAATAGAAAAGAGTTCTCTTTGCCAAGCTGTTTGGACAGCTGTTTGGACCCCCTGAGGGTTGGAAATCCTTTCTTAAATGGATGCATGTCCCACACTTTCCCAAAAAGAATTTGAGGTGGCTGAAAGCAAAGTCACTGCATACACCTTAAACAGTTCTCTTTGAGACTCCTCCTTCCTTGACCACTTTGCAAATGGAAGCTCAGCTAGTGCTGAGACATAGCCTTCCTCTAGACCACCTCTGAGCCTAGGTTCAAAAGATGCAGAGAACACATCAAGGATACACAAGGCATCTGTTGGCATCATGAACCCAGGCCACATCTAATTCACTGATACCGTCTGGGGACACCTACCTTAAATGCTTCTTGCCTGAACTGCCTCCTGGGATGGGAGTGAAACGTGAATCTCTAGAGATATATTAATAAATCAGATCACTAAGATCTATTACATATTCTTACCTTTCCATTTCTTGAATGTTAGCCTATGAACTTTAAAGAGACCTTAATTCCCTTTTTCCCAAGAGCGCTAGATCTCTTTTTTGCATTTCCTTAATAAGTATTCCTAAATATGAAATGATGCCTGATCTCTAAAGAATAAGATAGTGACCATGACAGAAAGAAGTAAGAATTTCCACATACTGATTAATGAGACCACCTGGCTGCAACAACTAGCAGTATAACCTGGATCAAGTTACTTCAACTGTCTGAGCATCAATTTCCTCATCTGTTAAAATGAGTAATACCACCCATCGCACAGTCATTATGAGTGATAGAATGTATGGAGAGCAATAAATACAATGCCTAGCGCAAACAAGTCACTCAGTTAATGCAAGGGAAATGAACCTTCCCATTCGATTCAGAGGCACTCTGGCTTTTTTGTTGGATTTAGAAGTAATGAAAGGACCTGGTAGATAAATCCACTGGAAAGATGTCAGGCTCTCTTGTAAGAGTGTCTGTTTTCCCTAGTCTCTTCTCTACAGGTCAGTGAGGTGTCAACAAGGCTGAGTCAGCAGCTTGCTGGCTTGTGCTGCCCTCAATGTCCAGGTTTCTGTCCCCGAAACAAAGCCAGCTGTCAGCCTTAGTGCTTCCTGTACATTAACGAATCATTTTTCACTTTTCTTCTCTTGGTCTTAAATATAGGAATGATCCAGAGAAACTAGACGCCTTCATCATGGACAAAGCCCTTCTGGATTATGAAGTGTCAGTGGATGCTGACTGCAAACTTCTAACTGTGGGGAAGCCATTTGCCATAGAAGGTATGAATCAGTCACTTGTGATTCCCTTTTATTCAGGAGCTCAGTTTGCCAACCTCGCAAGTCACAAATGCCAAAGTCAGAGGCAAAGAGCTATTCATCTTCCTTTGTTTTCATTTTCAACTCATAAGCACTTAGCTATTAAGTTGCTGAAGTTAGGAATTTATTTTTCACCTACTCCACAAACATTTATTCACCCAATTGTTAGAAAAACAACAACAACAAAAAGCATTGTTGTTAACCAAACGATGTTTCTTCAGATACCCGGGAGTGGTGACACAGTGTAATAAAGAAGGAGTCCAATTTTAATTTAACCTGCATTTCCTAATGGCCAAGTCCTATAATGAATCTGATGCAAAAACTAGAATGATTACATTTTACAACTGGAAGGACCCAGTGTTGATCTAACCCAATCTACTCACTTTATTCACAAGAAAGCCCAGGCACATTACATCACTTTTTCATAATCCCACAATTAGATGATAAGACTGGAATTAGAATCCAAATCTCATGGTTCTTAAGTAAATGTTTTTCCACTGGTTTGAAAATAAGTTAAAAATAAAAATCTTCTATAGCTTAGTAACCTTTAAAAGTCCTAAACAAAACCTTGTTTGGGATCTCAGGTTTGCCTTTCTCCCCACTGACAGCAAATTTTTGCTTCCAACTTGATCAACCAATCAATCAAACTTTGGGACCAGAGAAGGATTGCTATGTCAGTCGCTCCTTTCATTCTGGACAACAGTTGATATATGAGGCTGATGGTTCGAACCAGCAAACTTCACATCTCCCAATTCCCAGCTTCCCTTCTCTGACAGTACATGCTGCTCTCAAGACAGCCATGCTCACTTGTCAGAAAACACTTTGACTTGAAACAATACCCGGGGGGACCTAAGTTCTATTTCAAGAAAACTCTACTTTTCTGTATGTTAACTGGTGTATCAAGACTATTCTGATTCCAATTTCCCAACCACAGGTGGTCTCTGTCTCCCCTAAACACATCAGCACCTTTTTTAATTCAGTCTTTATTTTTGTGATGAATGAGAATGGAACAGCTGATGCTGTTTCTTTGCGCCTCCTCCTAAGAGAAATTAATCTCCTCTCCAGGTGAAGTGACCTCCACCTGAACCAAGGAGAGAACTCAGGAAGAGAGAGATTTTGTGGTAGTGGTCTTCTCTTAAGACCACAGTCTGAGATAGCAAAGGCAAGAAAAGAAAAGGAAAGAGAAGGAGAAAGCTAGAAAACTAAAAGAACGTTCATTATATAACCCTGTTTTTATGTAATAGTGGAAAAATTCCCATTTTTGTGGCATCTGGGGATATGGAAGGGATGTTATATTTCTTTTTCTGTCCTGGATGCACTGGGTAATTGGGGTCCCTTCTGCCATTAGCAGCTACTAACAATGAATCATTGTTAGCGGGCATAAGAATGGGGGACTCCATTTTCCACCTTTGTCTTCAGGGGGCAACCCTATCTTGTCAAAAGGCAGTGGTGAAATGGCTTGTTTGACTCTGCTGGACCCCAGTGCCAGATGCCACACAATTAACTCCCCACTGGTTTCCTGTTTACATTTCCATCTGCGCTTACGAGACATAGTGTCTTATAGTTCCCATCATCTCCAGACACCACCATGTTTTCAAAGGGGATGCATGGAAGAGTTCTCTCGGCAAGAGAGCAGAAAGACCACAGACTTGAACAGAGAGAACATTCTCATAATTGTTGGTGTATTCTAAAAAAAACCATAGCAGGTTTATTCTAGGTGAGGTGTAAATCAGAAAATTGAATTCCATACCGTCCCTGCCAACAAGTAAAAACAGAACTTGGTAAAACACAAAAGGAGGCTACTGATAAGTTAAAAACAACAGTATGATAGAGATACTAGCAAAACTCTTAATTGCTGCTTTTATTAAAAAATGTTAATCATCTCATTGATTTTTAGTGACTATTTCTCTCAACAAAATTTTTTAAATAATATATGCTTTTTTTCACAACATTTAGAACTTATGGAAATGTGGACTTCGTTATTAATTATTTCAACTTTATAGGCATAAAAATATCATCAAAGAAATTTATGAACAATTCTTACCCAGTCAGCTTACGAGATTGTTTCATACGTCCGTCTGTATCCTTTCACAGAATCTAGTACAATGCTAGGCATTTAACAGTTATGTAATAAATGATGTATTACCTATTATATAACTCATTAGTTTAGATGTGAAATACATACCTAATTCACTTACTAATGTAGTTACTCAAAAGCACCCTGATAGTCTGCATACACTTTCCCAGGTGCATAAATGACTTTGGGAATTTAGGAGGGAAAACGAAGTCCATCTTGATTCCTTCATGCTCAATGTACATTGGCTCTCTATAGTGTTGATATCACACCAGCTGTTGTTGTGACTGCCAAATACCCCTCCCAGCTTCACCATTCTGCATTTGTTTAGGCTTAAAGGTGAGGCAAATGAGAGACAGTGGCTCCACAAGGAGTTTGAAACCTTTTCATGAGTACTCAGCACAGCAAACCCAAACCATTAAGAATTCAAGAGCATGTGGAAAGGCTTTGATCATATTAAATACCACACACCAGGGGCACAAAGACATATTGTGTGCTCTTGTAAAAAAGGAAGTGTTGAGATAAATGAATACATGTCCCAAATTTATGCATTGGAGTTAGCTGACGATAAAGGTCAAATGAGAAGAAAGAGTAATGGAACCGCACAGTAATGATTTGTGACCTTTCTGCCGAAGACCTTTGCCTGTTTTTGAATTTGTTCTTTTACTTGTTTTCCACTAATTATTTAATACAGTGCTTGGAGCACTAGCTCTGGAGTGTGAGTGCCTGGGTTAAAATAGAGTTGCTGCTACTAACTGTGTTACGTTGGGCAAGTCATTTAATGTGTTCTTCTGGTTCCTCACCTGCATAATAGACTTACCAATAGTCCATCTATGATAGAGTTGTTGTGAAGATTAAGTAATACATGTAAAGCATGTACAAGCACATAGTAAGTGCCCAATAAATTATTATTATTCAGTATATTGAATTAATACGTTGAGACCAATTCACTATACAATAATCCCAGGATAGATAATCTTCATACCTCTCAGCTTCTTCCACACACTGCCCTCTCTACTTTGACATGCGTAGGGTGAGGAAACCCATTTTTAAAGTCTTCTTCGTAGTTGAGACTATTACAATATGTTCTCAACCATTGCCCCAGATAAATACGGTATTCCAAGAACAGACTGCAAAACTGACTTGATCTTTCTTCTTGAAGCCTTTTTAACCCTATCTGAGATCTTATTTTCCAACCACATTTCAGGAAGATTCTTTTCGTCTATGAATTTCTATACATTTCCTAGCCAAAATATATTTCTACCACTCTTAGCTGAGTAAAGCTGATTTATCCATGGAGAAAAGATCAGGATTCTATTCTGAAAATTGCTGTCTTGGGCTATTAAGCCATATCCAATTTCCAGGGTGCCTGATTTCTTCATCTTTAGGGTTGAAGGATTCCATTTTGCTTCATCCATCAACCAGGAAATAGTCAACCTCGTCTTTATTGCAAAGCCACGTTTCTAATGATAATGAAAGCAACTCAGGCTGCTAAGTTGAGTCAGCAATTTAAAAATAAGAATTCTTTGACCAATGAACACAATCAAATTTGAAAAGCAACTGATAAAGGACAGAAACAAAACTTTGAAGGTTTTACTATTTTGCGTTTCTGAATAAAATGGATTTTTATGCCTTTTAACAAATACCTTTTCTAGTCATCACATAACTGTTTTTTCCTATTTCTCTCCTTGTTCTATATGCATAGTTTGTTTTAATTAGCTAATGAGTATTAGTAATGCTAATAATCATTAAAATATCAATACTCAATGTATGTATTAAAATAGAAAATTTGAGGAGACAGTAATCTATTTTTAGCAGTCAGTTGCAAATTAACCTTGACATGATGGAGTGGAGTGATTTAATATTTATTATTTCCTATGTAGCAATTTTTTATAATGTCTCTGCAACTTCAACATAGCTTTTCCCCTAAGGTAATTTTAATAATTTTGTTGTATTGCCAACATTTTATTCTTAGAATAAGTAGATTTATTATAAGTATTAAATTCAGATTTTTAAGCTTTCTTATCATGTATTTTTGTCTCATATACTCAAAATACCACTATCAAGAATCAATCTAACCCTCATACACTTCCGTTTGGTGCAGCCACTAAGGAGAACAGTATGGAGATTTCTCAAAAAATTAAAAATAGAAATACCATACAATCCAGCTATTCCACTTCTGAGTATTTATCCAAAGAACATGAAAACACTAATTCAAAAAGATACATGCACCCCTATAGGGGCCAGCCCTATAGCGTAGTGGTTAAGTTCACACACTCTGCTTTGGCGGCCTGGGGTTTACAGGTTCAGATCCTAGGCGCAGACCTACGCAGTGCTTTTCAAGCCATGCTGTGGCAGCCATTTCACATATAAAGTAGAGGAAGATGGGCACAGATGTTAGCTTAGGGCCAATCTTCCTCAGCAAAAAGAAGAGGATTGGTGGCGGATGTTAGCTCAGGCCTAATCTATATGCACCTCTATGTTCATTGCAACAACATTCATAATAGCCAAGATGTGGAAGCAACCCAAGTGCCCATTAATGGATAAAAGATAAAGAATGTGTGTGTATATATATATATATATATATATATATACAATCAGTGTATATATATGTGTGTGTGTGTATATATATATATGTACACACAATGAAATACCACTCAGCCATAAAAAAAGACAAATTTGTGCCATTTGCAAACACATGGATGAGCCTTGAGGGTATTGGGCTAAGCGAAATAAGTCAGAGAAAGACAAATACCGTATGATTTCACTTATATGTAGCAGATAAACAAACACATAGATAAGGAGCATAGATTAGTGGTTACCAGAGGGCGAGAGGCTCGGGGGAGGGCAAAAGGGGTAAAGGGGCACGTGTGTATGGTGACAGATGGAAACTAGACTTTTGGTGGTGAACGTGATGCAATCTATACAGAAGCCGAAATGCAATGATGTACACCTGAAATTTACACACTGTTCTAAACCAGTGTGACCTCAATAAAATAATTTTAGAGATATACTATATTTTTTTTAAAAAAATCAACATAAGATGCTTTCTCTCATCTTTTCATCTGATAGCAATCCCTCATTCCTCTGAATGCCACAGAGTTTTATCCATCCTCCTCCTTTCGTCCTAATGATTTTACTTTACCTTTTTTGAATTTATGCCTCACCTCTTTTTTTTCCAAGAAAAGTCCTGTAACTTCCTACTATGTTGTGTAGTTATTTATGTATACTTCATCTCCCCCATGCTGCCATGAGCTTCATGTGGATAAACTCAGTGTCTAATTTAACTTGGTAACCTCCATAGCACGTGGTGGAGTGTCTGGCACAGAATAAGCTTTCAATACATTTGTGGAATTAATGAATAGATGAACTGGTATACAATAAGTGTTCATCAAATGAAAACAATTCTGCCATTATTACACTAACCTGGGCTGGAATTATTGGCTTTAACAGGATTTTTAGGAGAAACAATATAGTAAGGGACAGCCCTTGCTAGTTAATTTCCACATATATGCATAATCATATACCAGTTTGGGCTGTACTTGCATTATATTTACACAACTTATTGAAAAGTTTGATGACAAAATCTGCCCGGGAATAATATAGATTTGTGTCTGCTGAAAACAAACCACCAGTTTAGATGATTGTGGGTTTTTTACTGAATTGCCTGGTTTGGGAAGATGACATCAATATGACTGTAGTGATAGAGCCTGTATTGAAGGGGAGGATAGGCCAAATACTCCCTTGCCTGGGTCACATGTGATAGTGGATACAGGAGGAAGAGCATTGGTTTTGGACTCAAAGAGACCTACTTTCAAATGCTAGCTTTGCCAACTACAAGCTGTGTGACCTTAGGCAGTTTACTTATTCAATCTTTAAGTTTCTGAGTAATACATATTCTGCACGGGTTTATATACAGGTTAGACACATGTGGAATAGTATTTGGCATACAGTAGGTCCCAATATGCTCTAGTTCTTATTGAGTCCCAGAGTAATTTGACTGAACTATATGCACAATCTAGTACACAAATTCAGACTAGTGCATGGTTTACAAAATGGGGTAAGGTGCATAAAAAGTTGATCATAGAGTAGTACTGTGAGTATAGTTATCCCTTGACAAATATTAGAAATTGTTGGTGTTGTTGAAAATTATTGCCTCAGGGGGGAAAAATACAATAATATGGAGCAAACTTGGCCTAATTATCCAGTCCATCAACCCACTCCCACAAGATAATTCTAAGTCCTCCTACCACATTTTCGTATGTGCCCAGTTCTTCTCCCTCATGGCGATTATCTCAGTTGCAATGCAATAATCATTATATAGTGCATTATTTCATATCTGTCCCCCTAATAGAGTGTTCACTCCATGACAGCAGGGACCATACCTGCCCTACTCACTGCTAAATCTCAACCACCCAACACAACGCCTATTCACTCAGTAAATATTTGTTGAGTGAATGAATGAGTGAATAAATGAAGGCATGAATCAGTAAGTCAGTGAATGCTATTATACACACAATTACTACTGTGCCTGACATGTAAATAGGTACTGAGTGAATGCCTTGCAATTGACTTGTCAATAGCATTCATTATAATAAAAGTTTCTAGAGAAAACTAGTTACTTCCTTGTAGTCACTGATTATTAAAAAATGTTATTTAATGATAACATCAGCAGAAGAACAGGCTGCCCTTGTAAAGTCTTTTATTGTCTGTCTTGGCTTTCAAACCAAACTACTAGGCACAAAATAGGCACTCAAAATAGCTCTTTGAATGGAAAATTCTAATCATGTTCTTGACATTGTCATTATTTCCTTGACTCGCCATTGTTAGGAACAAACAAAATTATCAGGGGGAAAAAACACACAGTTCTTTAAAACTCAAAAATTTTTTCTGCATTATTTATTTCTTCTCTTTTATTGGTTATATACATGACTCAAGCCTCATATTTTTAAAAAACAGATTTGTGTATCTGCAATTAAAAAAGGAACAAAAACTAACGTCCTTGGAAATAAATTATAAGATAGAGTAATTATAGCAGATATTTGTTTCCATGAACTATCTTTGGATTCTTGACAGCCTTTTAGTCTTTATTTGTGAAAAAGGAACTAGCTGTATTTTTAATTTACCTTCCTCAATCATCTTGAGGGCAAAATATCTTTTTTTGACTATGCTGTCCAAAAGCTAAAGACAAAACATAGTTAATTAGTTCTTCCACATGACTCATCAAAGAGATTAACAATATTGTAACAGTTTGGAAAGCAAGTAAAGTCACAGAGAGTGAGGATAGAGAGTCCAAGCTGGTTAATAAAACTCCAACAACAAATTACACCCATCTTTTTGCTCCTCCTTCATCCTTTCTGCGGCCTCTCTTTCCTTGAATAACCTCTATCCTGGATATTTGGTTTATCATTTTCTTGATTTTTTCTAAATATACTTTCATTACATACATATGAATTCCTAAAAATATATGGTTTTGTTTTGAATGTTTTTACATTTATACAATGGGTTCATACTATAATCTTCTGGGACTGCTCTTTTTTCACTCAATATTGCTAAGAGTCATCCATATTATTGCATGTGGTTCTAATTCATATGTTTCACATTATATAATGTTCCAATTGTGTAAATAGTCCACAATTTATTTACCCATTCTCTTTTCAAAGAACATTTGGGTTGTTTCTAACTTCTGCTGTTATGACAGTGCTTCTAAGAACATTCTTGTACGTATCTCCTGATATGGGTGTGTAGGAGTTCTTTAGGAGTGTACTTCGAATTGCATGCAAATGTTCAACTACACGAAATAATAGCAAACTGTTTTCCAAAGTGGTTATATCAAATTACCTTCCCATAAGCAATGTATAAATGATCTTATTCATCTAAATCTTCTCCAACACTTGGTATTACCAGATTCCTTTGAGTTTTTTGTTGTTGTTGTTTTTTGACAATGTTTTTATTGGTGTTTTAGTTCCCACACTATGTTGTATATTTACATGGTCTCATCATATTATTAAAAAATAAACAAAATAAAAGTAAAAGAGGGTCATGCAAGACCAATGATGAGAGTACGTCATAAACCAGAAATTATGATTAATCAAATTTTATGTATTTAAGGTCCAGAGAAGGGGTTCTAGAAGAAGTAGATAAGGAATCCTAGCCCTAGTAAAGACCTCAAAGATGGCTTCTCAGAAATAACTTGAAGGGAAGGGCAGAAGGCCTTGGAATACAATGTGCCACTAGTACACAGTGCACAGCCCATTCTTCTCCTTTCCAGACTCATCTCTTCTACTCAGAGAGGCAGCAGATCCAAAGCAATCATACTTTGGACATCTTTGAGTCCTTTGAAGGAAAGAGGGTAAAAGCTCACCATACCCTTGTTGCCAGGTCTAACGGCAATATCACGCAAGTGTGGTGGCGATCTCTTTGGAGCCTCTCAGGTGAAAAACTGATCTGAGATTCTTTACTCTCCTAGGATACGGCATTGGTCTCCCACCCGGCTCTCCACTGACCTCCAATATCTCCGAGCTAATTAGTCAATACAAGTCACATGGGTTTATGGATGTGCTGCATGACAAGTGGTACAAGGTGGTTCCCTGTGGCAAAAGAAGTTTCGCTGTCACTGAGGTAAAGAAAAACTGCTGATAATGTTGACACTTTGTACAGCTTTACCTTGAAGAATATGAGGAAATGCTGTTGTATGTGTCTTGTGATCGATAAGCCAGGCTATTTACACATCCTAGGACTCACCACGATATTTGGATTACTCCCAACTTCACTGGAAGAATGCCCATTCCTATAGGAATTTGCAGTAAGACAAGTTTGTCTTGGATTTAAATGTGATGCTATTTTGATGTGTAAATGTCTAAATTTCTCCTTTTTTTCTATATACTATATCCACAAGTGTGGAAGAAACGCTGCTCTGTATTACAGCAATAGTATCTGAGACTGACATTAACAGTGTTTGGTTTAACTGTTAATTGCTGGTCAGGATGTGGACTTCAAAATATCCTTCAAGATATAATCAAAGCTAACTTCCCAGTAGTCCAGTGATGAATCCTTTGTGAGTTTAGAAAAATAGACATACCTTAACTGGTAATTCTTAGATTATAGAATCAGAGATTTTTTTTAACTTAAAAAAACAAATTCCCTTCTTTTACAGATGGGTAACTAACACCTAGAGATCTTAAGTGATTTGCCCAAGGCACACAAATGGTCAGAATCTACATCTTTCTATTGCAATGCTCTGCCTTTACAATGTAATTAGAAAGAAACCTGCAAAGTGAGCCAGAAAGTGGATGATTAAGACAGGAGGCTAAAGGTGTAACAAGAGCCACAGGCTCAGTTATTTAAGAGAGAAGCCAAATAAACCAGTACAAGTTCAGCCTGACATTTAAAAAAGAATCTAAAGCCAACAATAATGGCTTCAAATAGCCTCTATTTGCCAACAACTCCCAAATTTGTGTTTCAACACAGATTCTTCTTCTGAGCTCCAGAACCATGTATCTATCTTCCTGTTTGACATGTCCACTTGAATATCCTACAGGTATCTCACATTTAACTTGTCAAAAAGTAAACCCTTGATCTTCTCTCCTAAATCTGCTTTCCATCCTGTGCTTCACATCTTGGGTAATGGCACCTCTGTCCATCCAGTTACTCATTCCAGAAACTGGCAGGGATCCTTAATGCCTCCCACATCTCACCTGCTGCATTCATCAACAAGCCGTATCTTTTCCTTGTGTAAAATATGTCCCAGATATGCCCATTTATTGCCATCTCCACTGTCATCACTCTAGTCCAAGCCATCATCCCTCACCTGGACAACTGCAGAAGTCTCCTAACAGGTCTCCCTGTTTTCATGCCTGCCTTTCTCCCATTTGTTTTCTACATGGCAGATCACCCTTCTGCTTAGAAGCCTGCAATGGCCTCCCATGTTAATTAGGGAACAATCTGAAATGCTAAACATGGCCTACAATGCCCTGTTGGACTTGACTCTGCCCACTTCTTCAGCCTCACCTCATGCCTCCTGGCTATTACAGCCACACCACAATGGTCATTTCAGATGGAGATACCCCAGCAGCTTCCCTGCCTTGGGGACTGGGCACATGCTGTTGCATCCTCCTCCTCCAGTACTCTCCCCCTGACATTTACCCAGCTAATGCCTTCTCATCATAAACTCCCAGCTGAGACCTGTCTTCTTCAGAGCCTGCCCATAGTCCCTGACCCAATCTGAATCATATCTCTCTTTATAATCTCATATCTCACTGAGCAAAGGTTTAAAGGAAGCAAAAAGGGAAATGAGGAATTAGGGAACTAGCATGTTCTGTTTCTTACCATGTGACAAAAACTGTATTCGGGACATTAACTCACTGGCTCTCACTACAACTGTATAAGGCAGGTATTTTTATCTTTATTTGGAAAGATTTGCATGACTTTTCCTAAGAGAAATAAAATTGGGCTTACACTGGTCAGCAGAATTAATTCAGCCAAGAAAGCAAACAAACCAATTCCTTAAATTGTGCAAAGCAACAATCACTTGGTGTTTTCTACTGGTTGTTGTGACCATGGTTAACTCAAGCCAAAATGTCCAAGTAATTCAAAGCTGACAGCAAGACATTAGATGAGACAAAAGGAGTCTCCTAGTCATGTCAACAAAGCCAGCTGTACGGAATGACTGGCACCCCCAGACCAAAGCACCCCTCTGGGCTGTTGCCATTTCAGGATCATCAGACCGAGATATCAGCTGGAAGGACCATCTGACTCCTAGCACAAGCCTCTGAGGGTGCAGGGCCCTGAAGACTCAGAACCTAACTCCACCTGGGCACATAGAGGGGAACATACTTTCAGAGATTAACACAACCACTAGCATAAATCTGTTAGAGCCTACAAACATAGGTTCCTTACCCTCCACACCTGAGAGGCCAAATAAAAACTGGAAGGCCAGGCTTATGGAAAGGAAAGAGTTTTTATTCCAGGTGATATCAACCAGGAGATGAGAGTTAGCTCTCAAATGTGTCTCGTTTCCGTGAAGGATGGAAGGCAAGGATTTTTGTTTTGTTTTGTTTTTGAGGAAGATTAGCCCTGAGCTAACATCTGTCACAACTGGGCCACCGAAGTGGAATGTATGAATTTAACTGCTGTGCCACAGGGCTGGCCCCAAGACAAGGGGTTTTAAAGTTTGTAAGGAATGTTTCTGTTATAGGAATGGGAGTGGCCTGTGGCCTTGGGCACTTTCCCACCAGCCTGTGTTTGGCCTTGGGAGGCTGCTTACAGTGGGGAGGATGATGAGGTAATTTGCAGGTGGGCGTCCTTAGCTGTCTGCCTCCATGGCAGATAATGGATTCTGGTGCCAGGAAGCCAGGGAGTAAGCAGGGAATGAATGCTTTGGTTTTAACCCCATATATGCTGGGTTTAATGTAGGGAACTGATATCAGGGCTTGTATCAAATCTATTTATTCCAACGTGAAAGTATCTAACACAAAGCATGATAAATTTGAAGCCATACATTTCTGGACTGCATCCTGGATCTGTCAATTAACAACTGAATGACTTAATTGCTCTTAAGTCTGAGTTGCCTCATCCATGAATGGATATGATAAAACTTGCCTTGCCATTTTGTTCTGAGAATAAGAGCTCACTTATGGAAAGACCTAGTAAGAAACTTGGCACCAGGGCTGGCCCCAGGGCCAAGAAGTTAAGTGTGCATGCTCCACTTCAGTGGCCCAGGGTTTCACTGGTTTGGATCCTGGGCATGGACCTAGCACCACTCATCAAGCCATGCTGAGGAAGCGTGCCACATAGCACAACCAGAAGGACCTACAACTAGAATATACAACAACATATTGGGGGATTTGTGGAGAAGACGAAAAAAACCAAAAGCTTGGCAACAGATTTTAGCTCAGGTGTCAAACTTAAAAAAAAAAAAGATAACCAAGAAAAAAAAACTACTTGGCCCAGTAAATAGTAAATAATAGAAGTATTAATTCTTCTTCTCCTTTCATTAGGAGAATTTCCTGGGATTCATAGATATCTTCAGGTGTCTTCCCGCAGCTCTTTTTAGAAGTGAGGAAACCTTCCTAGAAGCTCTCCAGTAGATTTTCTGGTATTTCATTGGCCAAAATTGTATCATCTGCCCATGTCTAAGCCATGAGGTGAGAAAAATGAGATCACCATGATAGATTAGGCCAATCATGACTCATCCCCTAGTACTGATGACGGGGCAGCTTCCTTTGAAATACATGGTGGAAAAGACCTAAACAAAAGCAAGGTTCCCTTAGGAAGGAGGAGACAGGAGAATGGATGCTGAATAGGCAACCAACCACCTCTTCCACACCCACTTTGTTGATGGGAAAGTTGCTTCATTTCTCCTCCTACCCACTTCCAGTCATATTTACAATGAGTTCTTTGGATTTAATCATCTGCAAGAGCCCACCCAGCTTTGATACAGTGATTATGGTTTCCCTTTATATCATCCAAGATAAGAATATTTAATGTTCTTTACAGTATAGCATAATGGTCCAAAGCATGGGCTTTGGAGACTGGTCCAGGTTTGAATCCCACTAGCAGTGTGATATAGGACACGTTACTTGACCATTCTGAGCCTCAGCTTCTGCAGATTGGGGATGATAATATCTATTTTGTTGCGGTGAAAATTAAGTAAGATAATGCTTGTAAAATAATAAGCCTATACCCAAATATGATAACCACAAGGTCACTTACATTCCTAAGGATTATGAGGTGTCACCATAAATGTTTCAGGGCTGTATGGATTTACGAGTAATTTCAAACAAAACACCAATTTTTTTTTTCAGCCAGGGTTTTTAAAGGGTCAGATTCAGGGGAGAGGCATTTGGGAAATTCTGGATGTTGTGAGCTGGAAGCCGTTGGATAAGAGGCTGATATCAGGATCAAGTTATGGTTGCTAGGACAACCCTGGGCCCACTTCCCAGGTCAGCCGAATTTGGAAGGGAGAGGGGGTAGGGATGAAGAGAATAGAAGAGAGACGTATCCTTAATTGGAACTTCAGAGACAGAAATAAAAGAAGATCCTGATAACATCCACATGTTTGTAGAGACCAGAGGGCCACTCCCAGCCTCAGGGAATGTTGTGAACATACATGGAGCTATTATTTCTCAAGGATGGTGGTCTGCACTGTGGCATATCCTGGTCTATTTCATAAGAAAAAGCTTCACAATGATGCTCACGTGTGTGCCTGTAAACAACAGTACACATCCTTGTGCTCTGACTGGCATATTTGTCTTGAACAACCTGAGACAGAATTTCAGGATGTCACCCTCACAGAACGTAAAGGTAGAATGCAATTAACTGAAATCAATGTTCAGCTCATTGACTGAGCTTGGTCTCCTCTGTGAGGGCCCTCTGCCTGCTGGACTTCTCTCTGCTCAATCCACGAGTCTCCACCTGCTTTTTTTTAAGCTTTCTCCCTGAAAAGGTCGGAAGGAGGAGACACATCTGTTAATGCTATGCGTGCCATCCCTTTTCCTCAAATGTCACTCACTGCTGGGCTGCATTACTGTAGAGAAACAAGGACTGGCTTTGAAATCAGACAAGCCATATTTGAAGGCTGCCTCTACCATCGTCACCTTGCCTTGGGCAAATCACTAACCCCCCTCAGGCTCAGCCTCTTCCTCTCCTCAGTGGCTCCTGTGAGGAGTAATAAAATGGTAGTTTAACGAACATATTCCTCTTCCTTCACCCCCCAGGGGGACTGCTGCAGGGCGCAGTGCAGCAGAGGCAGGTATGTTCTGGAAGGCGCCTTTCCCAACAGGTGCTTCCTCTGTTTATTTCTGACCTGACCTCCCATTTTCCAGGTACAGTCCTCGTCTACGTAGGTTGACACGGAGTAATTAAACTCCCCTTAACTCTGAAAAGAAATATCCTAGATTGGCTAATAAATGATTTGATCACCTAGTAATATGATATGAAAGATGCTTTTCCCCCTATTTCTGGTAGTTGGACATTAATACTTGGTCCCCTGTGAGAACCTTCACCTCTTCACCTCTCATCTCTTGGCAACCCCAGAGCTGTCTAGCTGCAGTCTCTCTGGAGGATAAACTCATTTTTTTGAATTCCAGAACTTTATCTGCTCCCCAGAGTCACCCGGGAAATTGCGGGTCCCATTCAACAGACCACCTCCGGCAATTTTCAGAGGAATTTTAAATTGACCTCAGATGTGTCTTCACGATCCTTCTAACCCAACTGTGCTTCTGCCCACAGTAGACTCATTGTCAATCAATTCCACTGAGGAAAATGTATGGCAGCCTCTGAATTTCCTTCATTTTCCTTTGACTCAGCAAGCAAATGTAATTTTTTTTTCAAGTCACTGAGTGAGTTTAAGAGTGCCAGGGCAACAGTTTTGTGAAATCTGCTTTTTGCAAAGCAAAGGAAGGCAGCAGATCAAAGCTTAGCAAACCCTCAAAATTCTTCAAGGAATTATTAAGATATATGATGATACTTCTTTTTGAAAGTCTCCTTTAAATAATGAGTTGAATAATGTGCCTTTTAACCAACTGGGAATAGTCAAGAAGGAAGAGGATACAGTACTCTTGGCAGGGAATCGATTGCAGACTCAGTTTGAGGAGAAACGATTTGCAAAGGTATGGTTTAAAGAAACCAGCAGAAATTGTATGGCTCCCAGGGGCAGGTAAAGTGAGGGAGCCGTTACCACCTAGGCTCGAGGGAAAAAATGGAGAGAACCATTCCAAAAACCTAGGGGTGCATAGGAAAGGGCTTTCTAACAGGAGCTGTGGTCTTTGGTTAGGAACATAGCCAACCCACAGTGACCTGGCCAAGAGAAAGCCAGGGAATAAATACTTGACATCAGTCTCTTCCTGCCTTCCCATCTTCCACCGCTGCCTTTGGTCAAGGAAGCCTGTCAGTGTGGTCCACAGAGGACTCCCCAGGGCACAAAGCAGGATGGAGAAAGATGAAGAGTAGATCTGGAAGGGCAAAGGATGTCCAGCACAGCCCCTTGTGGCACACAAAGCAGGGGATGGGACCAGCTAGAGGAAAGTGTCCAGAGCCTGACCATCTGAGAATGTGCAGCTTCTGCACCTGCAGACAGAAGTCCAGCCTGCAGGGAGAGAGAGCATGCCTCGTGCTGGCCAGGAAGGAGAGAGAAGTACAACCGGGTCCACTGGAATGACCCTGTCTTGGGAGTCAGACCACCCCGGTTCTCCCGCTGCTGTGAGGAGGCAGCTTTATGTCCTTTGGAAAATTGCTTAAGTTCTCTGAGCCTCAATTGAATCCATATCTTGCTAGGTTGTTACAAAGTTTTCTGTCTCTGAATCCACCGGTCTCATCCTGTTATTGAGTGCTGAAGGAAACAAACACGTACCAAGCAAGGGGGCGAACATTGCAGTGAAAGGGGCTCCATCTCAGGATCCAGAGACCTTGATTATATGGGGTAGGGAGGGAAAAGGAGAAGCATATTCTGAAACAGTCTAAAAGTAAATCATTACACTTTTCAATGTTTTTTATTATCAAGGAAAGTGTATATTAGGAAATTTTGCCCCATTCCATCTCTGACCTCACCCTCAACTTGACCCCCATCCAACCCTGAATGTACTCCATCCTTGACCTCACCCGATTCCTGGCCCCCAACCCCAACCTGACCTTCAATCTACTCTTGATCCTTCCCACCCTTGGCCACCCCCTATTTGTGAACTTCATCCAATAAGGGTTGGGGCTGTAGGGATGGAGTGAAGATGTCTGTCAAGCTCATTTTTAGGTAATTTTTAAAAGCTGACGTTTAAATCGTTTGTTTTTAGGAACACTATAGAGGTGCCAATGTGGAAATAATTGTGTCATCAAAATATCCACGTCAGAAAGGTGCTTCAAAACATCATGAACACAAACGACTTAACCCTTCTGAGTTCCCTCCTCTGCAAAATGAAGGGGACGATATTCCATGTTTCTGACTTGGCAGAAGGAACAGAGATGATGTACATAAAAGTGCCTGACACGTAATAGGTGCTGAATGGATAGTGGTTTTCACGTTCGTCCTGACTCTGCCATGAACCAGCTGAGTGACCTTTGGCCAATCCCTTAAGTTCTCTCCAGCTTGTTCCCTCACCGTAAGACTGAGCCATGCAGGAGATCCAGCTTAGAGAATGCTGTGGTTCTCAAGCAGGTTCGTTTAGCGGGATCCCGACCTATCTAGCTCAAGACATGGATACTGGAACACAGGGAGGGACAGTGAACTGACTGACTAGCTTCCAGTCTGGGCTCTCCATCCCTGACCACCGCACCACACCACCAAAATGTGTACCTAGTGTGAAACCTATTAAGATTTTTTCACTGAGAAAATGGGGCTTTCTCATGGCAGATCCGTTCTTCCCTCTGTTAATTTTTTGGGGAACGGAGGAAGGGTTAGTCAACTCTACATTCAAAGCCAAAGAGATCACACAAGTCACATCAAGAAGCTTCAATGCTGGTCAATGTTCCGTCCAGTTTATCTTTAAAATCCCAAAGGGAATGGTACGGGGGTGGGGGAGGGGTGAGCTTAAACACAGTCTTTTCTGCTCTTGACAACCGGGTCACATACCAACAGCCTCCTGCCCCTCCCTCATCCCCACACCTTCCTCTTTCAATTCAAAACATCACTGTCCGCTATTCCACCTGATGAGAGTTATGGTGAGGCAAGGAGAGTTAATGACTATAGATTGCTTTAAATTGAAAACCCATGTATGTCGAGAGCCACCTTGACAGCTGAGTGCTTCACTTGGAATAGCCTAAGTAATTGAGTTTAATATTTAAGCCAAGCATAAGGTCAGATGGAACCTGTCCAGGTAGCGCTTTCTGGAAACCTGAAGAAGCACAAAGCTGTTCATGTGTCCTTATATGATGCAGGGTGGAATTGCATGTGAAGAAAGGGAAGCAATCTCAGAAAGGCCTCACCTTCTTTTATTCTGCTACCAGAACAAATTCATTCATTCATTCATTCATTCATTCATCCACCCATCAATCAGCAAACGTACTGAACTCCTGCGTGCCAGGGGCAGCTGGTGCAGAGATGAACACAGAGCTCAGAGGCAGGTAGAAGCTGATTGCAAACAAACCCTCTAAACCACGCTGCCCCAGGGGCAGCAGTGGAAGAAGATATGAGGCAGAACAGTGACATAGGTCAGCCCCTGATTCACTCATGGGAGAGCAAGAAGGAACCAGAGAAGTCTTCTCAGAGGAGGTAACCTCTGTAGGGCAAAGAGCCCTCCAGTCAGAGCACGAGCAAGACACTGAGGCAGGAAATTATAAGCAATGCAATTTGGTCCCACCCTCCAGAGACACTGCACTCAACCATGGTGCTGGACAGGACGCTGCCGTTTTAGTTGTGCCCTCCCCAGGGATTCTAAAATCATAGATGGCCACCCTCCCTGGCCCCCTTGTTATGCAGCCACAGCTAGACCCAGGAGTAAACTATAGGCCTCTGACTTCTCCTGTGTCTGCCTCGTAGCCCGCCTGTCATCTCCTCAAGAGCAGGACATCTTTTCTAGTCTCCACATGGAATACCATCTGCAATAACTGAGAATTTCAGCTCTAGAAGTGGACATACCAGTGTTTGACTCCTGTCTCCATCGTTATGTGTCTTTGCAAGCCAGGCAACTTCTGAAACTTCAGATCCTCACACCAAAATTGAGACTAATAGAGTCTACTTGTAAGTAGTGAAATATATTTAATGAGCTGGTTTATGGAGAACATCTAGCTTAACAAATATTCCCTCCTTCCCTGTGTATAGAGCTATCCACACAGAAGAAAAAAATATTTGATGAATAATAAGCACGTGCAAGAAATTACAGTTGGTGCACCCTCCCCAGCTCCAAAAAAGTAGGAGCATCTTATTATTATAAGCATCTTATAATTCCAACATAAACGTTCTTTTATTTATTACTTACATATGTTATATAACTGAAGACTTTCTTACCGGAGGACTTGAGAAATACGTGACTCTAGAATTTTCTACTTTGCAATGTGCTGGATTAACGAGCTTTTATTCTTTTCTTCTAACTCAGCTTCTAGGTTTGAGTGGGAAAACATGAATACAGTTTATAGAAACCATTAGGCTGTACTTAAAACAGATCTTTAGAGAAACAACAGTAACTATTTTCTTTAAATATGGTCAATGGTGTTTCACAGTCAGGTTGCTGAGCGCAGGCTGGAGATCTACAATTCTCAGGTCTTGTTTCCCCCCCCACCTCATATCACAAAGCTGGGGCTGCTCCTCTGTTGTTCTCTTGTTACCAGACGTGACCGAAGTTTGAATTCTGATACACTGAAAACTAATTCCAGCAAGTGTCCCCTTCACCATTGCTAATGACCAAGTAAACGGAACTCATGGAATAAAGGTCTCCTCTTTTATACACCAGTGATGCTTGGGCATAAATTATACCCAAGACCACATACGGTTAATAGTTCTTGCTTCTCCTTTGGTTAAATTCAATGAACTCATGAATATTTATGAAATGGTATTTACTATGCAACTAAAAGGTGTAAACAGTGTTCAAACTGATTAGGTCTATTGTGAGAGACAGTCTTCCTTCCACTTTTTTAGATTTCCGTACACTGAAATCTATGGGAGAATTACGTGAAATGGGACTCCTCCTTAATTATTCTCTGTGCTAAATAGTTGCCCCTAGGCTCTAAAGATTCCAGCTGAAAAAACAGAGAAAGTATGGCAATGTGTGAAGATTGCCATCAAGTGGCCATGATGGGAAGTGTCAAAAAATATCAGAAAATCCATCTTTTTTCCACCTCACAAAGAGTGTGAACTAAGAACGTAAGAAATTGCCCTCACATTTCCTCTGTCGTATCCAAGGCTTCCGAAGACACTTACTCCCCATGCAGCTGTGGGAGTTGGTGGAATTTCAGCACACATTAGAGGAGAAGCCAGCATCATGGGGGAGCCCTGGAGCCCTTACTTGGGAACGCAGCCAAGAAATCAAGAGAAGACTGAGACTTGCAAGGGCAGCAATTAAAGAATTAGGAAAGGTCATCAGGTGTAAGGAAGGGTCATTAGAGACTAGGGTAAAGACTATCTACACCTTCGTATTCCCAATAACTATGTAAGGGTGTGAAAGCTGGACAGTGAAGAAGGCTGACAGGAAAAAAATGGGTTCATTTGAAATGTGGTCTTGGAGGAGAGCTCTACAGATACCCTGGATGGCCAGAAAGATGAACAAGTGGGTCACGGAGCAAATTAAGTCTGGACTATCACCGGAGGCAAAAATGATAAAACTGAGGCCGCCTTACTTTGGGCACATCATGAGAAGGCAGGATTTTTTGGAAAAGACAATAATGCTGGGAAAAGTGATAAACAGCAGGAAACGAGGAAGACCAAACACGAGTTGCATCATAAAGGAAGCCAGGGTCATGAGTCTACAGAAGCTGAGTAGGGCTGCTGAGGACAGGACATTGTGGACTTCACTCATTCACAGGGTCACCAGGAATTGGAGCCACCTTGACATCACATAAAACAAGTCTCCAGACCTGGGAGGCAATCAATTTCTGTTTAAGCCACCCAGTCTGTGGAACATTGTTTGGGTGGCTGCAGGAAACTCATACACCTCGCCTTCCACCTCTAGTGCCTCTGTCACCCTAGAGCAGGCTCTCGTTTTCCACACAAACGGATGTCATTGTCATTATTTGCTAGCTGCTCTCACAGTGCCAGTCTCTCCCCCTGTTTAATTCACCCTTCACAATGCTAGATTAATCTTTTTAGAATATCATTCTATCAGGTCACTCTGCTGTACTTTCCCTCTCATATAGAAACGATATGCCTTAGCCAAACATTCAAAACTCTCCTTGACCTGGCTCCTTCCAGCCCACCTTCTGAGATTTTCCTCAAGGGCTTCAGCTACATTAAACTAGTTGCTGAGGTCTACACCTCTTCCCTTTCCTACTTCTGTGATGATGGCACTTGTCCCCTTTGTTGTCATCAGGATCAAACAATACTTCTTGCCAAAAAAGTCTTGCTCCATTTGCTCCCAGCAAGAATTCTGCGACTTTCTCAACGATCTCTCAATTCTCTGAATTCTTATAGCTCTTTGCCCTTATCTTTCTGATGACCTTTCATTCGCCATCTTGGGTTATAATTAGTTATGCCTCAATTCGCTCAGCAGTCGGTAAGCTTTCTGAGTAGGGACCATCTCTGAATGCCCTGAACACTTTACATGTCAAAGCACAATTGGATAAATGATGACCTGTAAGGAATGACTGGATGAACGTCAGTGTCTAAGGCATGGTCAGACCCTCTCTTCGCTTGACCTAATACTACTTCATCTAATACTCCCTTGACCTCCCTATTCCGGCCACACTGGCTTTCTTTAAGTTCATTCTATTTGATATGCTCCTCCTGCCCCAGTGCCTTTACACATGGAGTTCCTTCTTCCTGGAACATGCAACTCTGCCTAGAACACCCAGGTAACCTCTCCTCCTTGAGATTTCGGCTCAATCATCCCATCCTCAATAGCGGTTTTGTTCCTCTTTCTGACTATTCTTATTGTGTGAGCTCCCTGGCACCACAAATTCCCGTTGCGTTGCCTCTCCTCTGTAACACTGGCCACAGGTACTCCTTTACATTTATGGATATGATCATTTGGTTAATGTCCATCTTCCCTGCAAAACTGAGCTCCATGAGGACAGAGACTGCTGGGAAAGTATCTGCTTTAGGTCACCATTGTACACCTCTCATATAGTAGATGCTCGATGAATATTTGTGGAGAAAACAAATGAATAGTTGACTATATCTGTGTGTGTGTGTGTGTGTGTGTGTGTGCAAACAGCCTATTAGAGTTTTCCAGGCAAGCCTACAGTAGGCAATAATGATAACATCTACCATTTGGTACCTACCATGTGCTAGGCATTGGGTCTAATTCTTTTTGTGTTCTCTTATTTAATCTTGAAAAACGACGCCATGAGTTAGCAACTGTCCTTGTTTTATAGATGAACAAACAGTGACTCGGATAAGTAACTCTGCCCAAAATCTCAAAATTGTTAAATAGCTGAACTAGGATCGACAATCATGCACTCCAAAGTTCATATTAAATAGCATCCCAGAATTACCAAAGGAAATAAAGTGTATTCTTCTTGATCCTTTTGAATATACATGATAAACAAAAAAGACTGACCAAATCCTGCCACATTCTTAAAGCCACACTGTTTACTAAACTGTAGGTTTCTCAACAGCAAAACTGTATATTTCTCAAGGGACTGTGTCTTATTCACCACAGAAACCCCCATGACCACAAGGCCTGGGACAGAGCAGGTGCTCAATATATATTTATGAAATGGACTTGACTTGAAACAAGGTTTGTTATATCCAAGGAACCTAGAACACATATAGCCGGAGTCAAATTTGTGCTCTGGAGAAAGCAAATACAGTCTTGCGTCGCTTAATAATGGGGAAGCGTTCTTAGAAATGCATTGTTAGGCAATTTCGTCATTGTGTGAACATCACATGTACTTACACAGACCTAAATGGGATAGCCTGCCACACAACTCACCTGTATGGTACTAATCCTATGGGACCACCGTGGTATACGCAGTCCCTCATTGACTGAAACGTTGTTGTGCAGTGCACAGCTGTAAAGGAGTAGGGAAGGGAAAAATAAGAGACGGGGTACAAAATGTATTGAGCAACTACTGTGTGCTGGCATGCTATTTTAGATGCTTTTTTAAAGTGTTATTTCAGGTATTATCTCACTGAAACCTACAATAACACTATGACACCACTGTATTATTCCTGCTTTGCAGATGAGAAATCTGATGCTCAAAAAAATTTTAAACTCAGGGCTATGTGGTTCCACAGTCTACACAGTTGCTAACCTCAATACAGACAGATGTTAAGTATGGTGACCAGCAACATCACAGAGAGGGAAGGCCTTCCAGCCAAGGTCAAGGCTGCCTGTAAATCTCCCAGAATGACTGTGTGACGTTACTCAGAAACCCATTTGCCTGACCAACTTGGAAGAGGAAGCTTTATATGAGCCTTGGGTCTCATCATCTCCATTTTGTTTTCCAATGTCAGTTATTTTTGCAAGTGACCATCTCATAGTTCTTCATCTGAAAACTCTTGAGGACAGAAAAATGGCTTACTGAAATGGAAGTGCCGTCAGGCTCCTGATTTCTTCCAAAACAATCAGTCAACCCTTGTAATTTATTTACCGCAGTGAATGTCCAACTATCCAGATCCCTCCACAGTGATAAACAGAAAGAGTAACAAATTTTGTTTTCCATGGAAATAACTAAGAATAATGGCCAGAGAAAATCGGAACAATGACATTGAGTCCCATAATACTGCTGAAACTACAAAGTTTGTGAAATGTGGAGCAGTGGGGAACTCAACTTCACATTGAATGAAACTTCTGATCCAGCATAACAGAACATCCTCTACAAGGCAGGAGTAAAGCAATTCTGGTTGCAAACTAAATGATTTCAATGAAGTGGTACCATCTTCCCAGTATTGTCTGCTCGACCATTAAATTAGTTAACTCTTGGGACAATATTTCTCCTTTTACATAACTTTCCTATATGCACTCCTTCACCTCACTCTTACAATAACCACATGCTGTAGATAAAGCAGGTGTAATTATTATCACCATTTTACAGATGTGGACCCTGAGGCAAGAACAATAACGGCTCTTCTAGGGGCTCACAGCTAATAGGGGCAGTGTTGGGACTGGAACCTGGTCTATTTAATTCCTATGGTCTCTCTGTGACCCCTCACTACCTCCTAATAACACACCCACATAGAGGAAGACATTTACTAAGAGTTTCTACACTGGTGACTCCTTTCTGATTGACGACCATCAAGGTGTTACTGGGGAGAAAGTCAGTGAAAACTCCATAAGACTGCCTGGCAGGCCAGTGGAAAGTCTGCCGTCAGTCCCCAAAGTCAATCCTGGTAGAATGCTTCAAGCAGTGAGTGGCATCCGGGAAATGGTCTATGAGGAGTGTTCATTACAGAGACATGTATACACTTAGAGGCCCGGGCTGCCAAGTATTCTTTCTTGGAGACTTCATCTCCACCGGCAGGGTAAATAGTAATAAAATTAGTAATAATGACAATAATGATAATGATTTATCATATTGGCTAATGTCAGCCATTATGTCTTTAATCCTTATACAACTATACAAAATATTAGCCCCATTTTACAGATGGAAAAACTGACATAAAGCAACTTGTTCCAGATTTGATGCTGGGTTGTCCTCTTTTAAATTCTTTCTATCCTATAATGCTTCTGTCAGATCTAGTTAATTCAGTCAGTCGGGCTAATAATTCGGTCACAAATATTTTAGCCTCCAAACCTTTCCTTTTCCCCTAAACTGTCCCAACGGAGCGATAAGGTACCCTGTGGCTTCGCTGCGCTGGTTGCAGCCTGGTTACCTTTAGACTGATAGTTTGCCCAAAGTAAAGCACAGAGAAGGTGCCAACACTTTTTAAAGGAAGGAGTATTTGCCTCCTTCCATTTGATTTGATGACCTGAGGCTCCCCCAAGACTGTTTGAACTGCATAGTTCTTGAATCAGGTTTATTCCTTATGCATCTGCACTAACTGACATGCTCCTGAAAAAAGAAAGAATGTGAGGGAACCCGTGAGATTCATCCTCAACCAAAAGGACAAATCCAGTTGAAGCAGAGTGGGAAAGAGTGAGACAGGTTAGGGGCCCCTGTCACTCTCAAAACACGAAAAGGCTTCCCTGGACACGTTACAGCCATTCCCCAAAGTGGGCTGCAAGACAGCCGCCAAATGAGATGATGGATTCCAAGCAATAGGGAGACAGAGGCTATATTCTTGGGACCTGTGTCTTCCCGAAAAATGCCCCAAATTCAGCATTGTGTATATTCCTCAGGAACCTGTTACTGTCTGTAGGTGATCCGTGTGAGAAATTCTTTGTGATCTCTTACAAACAGGGTCTCTTATAAAGACCCTGAACCCCATGTCCTGAAAAAGGTCAGTGACCACTGTACTGGAAGGATGCCAATCCTGGCTTCCCCTCCCAGAGAGTTTAGGAAATAGATATCACATCAGGGCTTTGGTGTATTACCTCACTTCCTCCTCACACTAGGTCTGCACAGCGAGCATAAAGAGGCCCAGTTTGCAGTTCCCTCAGTCATTCAACAGACATTTATTAAGCACATGCTGTATGTCAGGCACTGTGCTGGGGTACTGTGGTGAGTAATACAGATGCAGCCCCTGCCCCCTTGGGGTTTACTTTCTAAGGAGAAAAAGGAAAGTGAGGAAGTGAGAAGAGAACATAAGAGCAAGGGGGATAGGGGTTACAAGGGGCTGAGAGAAGGAAGAGAGGCGGGTAGCCCTGCTCTCAGCCGCTCCCTCTGCTGGGCATTCCTCCAGCCCGGCTCTCTCCTACCCGCGAGCTCCCTTTCCCGCCTGCTCCAGCGCCGCCTATTTTCTAGTCGGGTCCTGGCTGGCCCACGAGCCGCCCCTCCCCCGTCCCCCCACCCGCCCCGGCTCAACGGTCCCTGCGCGAACCCCGCCTGTGCCCACAGTCCCTGCTCCCTCCTCCGACCTTGAGAGCCGGCGCCCAGCGTCCACAATGGGGAATGAGGCCAGTTACCCGGAGGAAATGTGCTCCCAGTTTGACCATGATGAAATTAAAAGGCTGAGCAAGAGGTTTAAGAAGCTGGACTTGGACAATTCGGGCTCTCTGAGCGTGGATGAGTTCCTGTCGCTGCCCCAGCTGCAGCGGAATCCGTTGGCGAAGAGAGTGATTGACGTCTTCGACACCGACGGCAATGGCGTAGTGGACTTCAAGGAATTCATCGTGGGGACCTCCCAGTTCAGTGTCAAGGGCAGCGAGGAGCAGAAGCTAAGGTTTGCTTTCAGCATCTACGACATGGACAAAGACGGCTACATTTCCAACGGAGAGCTCTTCCAGGTGCTGAAGTTGATGGTGGGGGACGACACCCTGACAGACTGGGAGTTACAGGAGGTCGTCGACAAAACCATCATCTGCCTGGATACAGACGGCGATGGGAAAATATCCTACGAGGAATTCAGCGCTGTGGTCCGAGGCCTGGAGATCCACAAGAACTTGGTGGTGGCTGTGTGAGCTGTTTTTTTAAAGAGCACCACCCAACAACAACTTTTTCTTTCTCCTCTCTCTCTTTCAAGAATAGCTCAAGATGACCAGCAACTGTCACTCTGACTTACTCGGAAGTATTTTCTCTTTGGAAAGCCAAATTTGCTAACATAAACCTCATGACCAACTCTGTTCCTAATTATCCTTCTCTCAGTGACTCAGGGTAGTACCCTGAGTGGCAGAGAACAGGTGAAGGAGCATGGTGGGGAAAGAAATGGCTTTTATAAACGTCTCTTTCTTTGTTGAGATTCAGAGACCAAACTATAAAGAGTCAACAAGAACTTTAGAAGTTCAAAAACAAGAAAATATACATCTTTGCCTTTACCTCTCATGGTTTTATATGTGGGAGAAAATTATAGAGTTCAAATCAAGTGTTAGGTGAACTGTTTTCATTTACTTGTGGTGTCAGGTGTCTTTTGACAGACTGTCAACTTCCCTATTGTAGCAACAGGGACGAATATGTTTCTCATGGCTGAGCACCTTTAATCACCTCTCTCTGGGCAAGAAAAGTCCATCTTTTCCTTTCCCAGGCCACAGCCAACTCCCCATGATGTTTCCAGAAATCCCTGAGCATGTTTTGCGGGGTAGGCATCAGGTCAGGCTCTTCCTGTCTCCTTGCTTCAGCTCCCGAACACAAACTGGTCTCGGGGCTCTTGTAAGAAATGCTAAGCCTGGACTAAGTGCCCAGCCCAACTCTCAGCCTCCGGCAGCAGGTTTTCAGGGTTGGCTGCCACCCCAGTGTTAAGTTCAGTTAAGAAGGCTTCCAGCCAAGCAGGGCAGAGACCTTCCCAGAGAGCTCTCTCACCTCCAACACTCAGCCCCACCCCAGCTGGAGAGAAAGGGACAGATTCAGAGTCATGCTTCCCATGGGTAGAGGTAGTGAAGATTCCGGCTGCAGGGGACTGTCGCCAGGATGCTGAAGTGGTGTTGCTCCTGGTACTCAAAAGATGCAGACATGGGCAAGCACCTCTTTGCAGCAGAAGTGAATTCTTTCTGCACTAGCAAAGCTTAGTTTTGAAACTCAAACCCAGGGCCTGACAGGGAAGCTAATCTCTCATTCGGGGAAGCTTTTTCTCTAATATAACATTCAACCCAGAGTCCCTCACACCCTAATAATCCTGCAGCCAAGGGGTGTGCTGGAGCCTGTTCACACTGGTGAGAGCCACTGTGTGTACATCTCTCCCCAGCTCCAGGTTCAGTGACGTCACGTTGACAGCTTGAAATTGGCCGGGACTAGGACATCATGGAAAAGAGCAAAAACTTAGAGTTGTTTTTGTTTTGTTTTGGAAAGCCAGTGTGCCAGTGAATACACCACTGTCTACATCCCAGATGTTACCAGCTCTCTGACATCCCACTTACCACTGCCATTTGTCAGAGAACAAACTGTCTTCAGAAGAGCTGGGCTCGCACTGGTCCCAGCGTCTGCTTCTTTAACCCAGCCCTGTTTCTCACAGGGGACCACTCCGCACAGAAGGTGCTTGACACCAGGACAATGAAACGTATTCTCCCTACACGTACTTAGCCAAGGGACAAAACTCAGGTGACTTTTCTCAGGACACGGAAGGTCCGTTTCAAGGAGATTTATTATCCTTATATTTTGAAGAAGCTGGTAGCTAGTCTTGACCCAAAAAAAAGAAGTAGGAAAAATAAGTCCACAAATTTAATTACTGTCAGGGCACCCATCTACCAAGATACCCTGCCGCACTTTTTATTTAATAGATTACTTAGGAACCACAAAGCATAAGAATCTCTTTAATCCCTTTGCAGTCCTAAAAAAAAAAAAAAATGTATCAATAATCAGTAAATGCTCCCAACCCTGTAGTGCTATGAATCACACCCCCATTGCAGGATGACAAAGTTCAAAGACTCAGACACACCTGGGTTTGGATTCAGTTACAACTGGGTTTTTATCACGGTCGCTTCTTATTAGCTGTATGAGCATGAGCAAGCTGCTTAACCTCCCTTTGTCATTCCTCCTAATTAAAACGAGGATCCATCTGAGGGTTACTTTGAGTGCCTAGAGTACAATGGGTTCATTCTCCTAATTCCCTTCACTTCCCCCTTCCTCTGCTTCTGTTAGATCAATGTATAAGGGAGACAGGAGGCCCAGTGGTTCCTTCTGAGCCCTTGTTTAGCCACACCCACTCTAAAGTGTAATCCTAATCCAGAAAGAAAACAATAGAAACAATGTCAAGGTCTTCCCCAACCCCCTCATCTGCAGAGGGGACAACAGATTTCTTGACTGGAGAAAGTTGAAGAGAGAGACTCTCATTCTAGCCCAGTGTGTTTGACGTTGTGGAGGAAACTTTGCATGAGGAAAGTGAGTGTGTGTGATGCCAGCTGAGAGGACCTCTAAAAGAGAGACATAATTTATACACTCTGCAATGTGCACATTAAAATAGGGACATTTTAAAATTATAACTAAGGGTTGAAACATCTTGGATTACACGTTCAAATTTCCACAAGAAGAGGAAAAATATTTCAGCTTCTGGAGTGGCTGGAATTAACAAGCAAATTGCTCAGTCCATTCAGTACCAGCTACCCAAGGTTTTGTGGCAATGACCTTGAACTGAGAGCCTGATTCTAGCTTCAGCAACCGGGAAGATCTGACTGTATGGCTATTTGGGAAGAAAGATCACATTTACTTCCAAATTAGAATCCTTTGATTTTTCTCTCTGTTAATTGCTGGTTGTCAGCAGATCTAGTTCTGTCCAACTCCTCGGGGTGATAATAGTAGTTAACATTTATTGAACAACTGTCCCAGGTACTGTTACATTTGTTATTTAATCATCGTAACAGCACTGTGAGGTGGGTGCCATCATCTCACTTTTACAGAGGATGCTGTAGAAAGTTCTAGAATCTCCTCCAAGTGTCCCGGCTGGTAAGTCACAAAACACAGACTTAAACCAATGTTCAGTGAAATAACCAAATTATTTCTGATGGTCTTATTAATATAATCAAATCAAGCCTCAAGTTTTCACAAAAGTGGTGAATTGCTTGTCAAGCAGCAAGCAGTGCCTCCCTCTTTGGTTCTATGCACTGCAAAGAGAAAACCATAAAACATATTAGGCAAGGCAGTCTTAAATCATCTTCTGCCTTCATCTCATCTTGAAAAATAAGCAACAGTATTTAGACTAAACTGATAACATCAACCAATATGCTTTGAGGTTACAAAGGTCAGTAACAATATGTTGTTATGAATCCTCTGTTAATGGATTGTGTCTGCTCTCTACCATATGTTGCAATTCTCCAAGCACTAGACACTTCTTTTTTTGAGACATAGGAAAAAATATGGCCTTAGCACAATTGGTTTATCCTCTAAATCTATCATGCTTTAGAGGCATTCTTAAGGGAAAATCTTCTGGGAATTTTTTTTTAAGTACAAATTCCACTCTTCACTTAGGCTTCCGATTCTCTCTAGTAGGATGTAGAGTAGGTCATGAGTCCGGCTACTGTGTTTTGTCTGTTTTGCATGCCTTGAAAAGGGAGAGGCGTGGATGTTTTTTAAGACAAGGTGGCATCGTGATAGAGGAGTCAGGTCACTAGACTGAGCAGCAGAACTGGACCTCTCTCCTTCCATATTGGCTCCCAGGACTGTCCCAGCAGCTGAAGACAATGTGAACAGCAGCAAATCGTGTGTCAGCTTGAAAGGCATTAGCTGACTTAGAATGAAAAACCGTAACACTGAAGGGACACCAGCAGCAATAAAGCTGCGTCGATCAAAGGATAACATCTGACAGCTCTTAGGCTAAAGCTGACCGGCAAAGAAATTGTTTTGTTGTTAGTTTCACATGGTGTTTCTTCTCACAATTTTTTTGGGCAAATATTTTTTAAAAATCTGAAGATTTTAGGGGGCCGACCCCATGGCCGAGTGGTTAAGCTCACACGCTCCACTTCAGCGGCCTAGGGTTCACATCCTGGGTGCGGACATGGCACCGCTCATTAGGCCATGTTGAGGCGGCATCCTGCATGCCACAACTAGAAGGATCCACAACTAAAAAAAAATATATATATATATATATATATGAAATGCATAATTTGGCAAAATATATAAATAAATGATTCACACAAAAGGAGGTCAGAAAAACAAGCATCAAAAAACAGCCTCACTAATCCAGCGGCCAGGCGGTAGCCTAGTGGTTGAGTTTGCACGCTCCGTTGGCGCACTCTGCTTCCGCGACCCTGGGCTCGCCTTTCTGTATCCCAGCAGGGACTTGGGCACCGCTTCTCAGGCCATGCTGTCCCACGTATAAAATAGAGGAGGATAGGCAAAGATGTTAGCTCAGAGCCAATTTTCCTCTGAAAAAACAAGAGGAAGATTGGCGGCAGATGTTAGCTTAGAGCTAATCTTCCTTAAAAAAACAAAAAATAGGTGATCACATAAAGCCATTAAAATAAATAAATTGATGTGTAGCCATAAATCTTTAGAAAATAAGTTTTTTAAAAAGCATAATTGTTCGGGGCTGGCCCCGTGGCCGAGTGGTTAAGTTCGCGCGCTCCGCTGCAGGCGGCCCAGTGTTTCCGTAGTTCGAATCCTGGGCGCGGGCATGGCACTGCTCATCAGACCATGCTGAGGCAGCGTCCCACATGCCACAACTAGAAGGACCCACAACGAAGAATACACAACTATGTACCGGGGGGGGGCTTTGGGGAGAAAAAGGAAAAAATAAAATCTTTAAAAAAAAAAAAAAAAAGCATAATTGTTCTACGTTATGTTTACAACTCTGGAAAATATGTATGTATAGGTCTTGGGTCAGAAGAGAAAATGAAGAGTTGGAACTAATTGTTTAAATAGCAACAGGATTATAGTTCATCATCTCAAATTTAATTTTTAGCAATATCTTTGAGTTGTTTTAATAATAAGTTGAGATTTTTCCAGAGACTGCACAATGGAGCTCATGTAGCAAATTAAGCATCGAGTCCAGGCTAAAAGATGATTGCCAAGCCTAGAAGGGGCGGGGCTTGGGGAGTGTGAGGAACAGAGAGACAGGGGGCTTCTCCGCGGCAACATGGGCACCTCCAAGGTGATGAGCCGCTGAGCGCGTTCCAGGTTAGAGAAGACAGAGGTGTCCCCGCCCCCGGGCCGGGGAAGTGATGGGAAGATCCCACACACCCTGATTGCTGTCCATCTAGAATATTTTGCTTGTCCAACTGTGAGAGTACTGTTCGTTTCGCCCACGCGGTGTCTCCCAGGAATTTGCAAATCACCTCTTTTGTTTCTTTTGTTGAATGTGATCTTTCGATCTGTCTTCATGGATGAGGAAATTCCAGATTCTCTGAGCCGTACATCTTCTTTCTCCCTTCTCGTGATTGTTGTTAAATTTCTTTTAGAAATCTCAAGTGATTACACCGCACAATCTTACCCCACTCT